AGTGAAGACTGTCAAAAAAAATGCTGGCTACTCTCAAGAGGAGGGTATACTAAAAACCTTAAAATCTAAACAAGAGACAACATCAAAAAAGTGGTTTATAATAGTAGTAGTACTCATTTTAAAAACTCATTTAAGCTATAGAATGTCCAAATCGATCAAAAAACTTTGCGCATAGAACTTTTTTAACTTAAAAGTTGACGTAACTTTTAAAACTTCTGTGCGCACAGTTTTTTGGTAGACTTTTGGCATTCTATACCTTAAATTAATCCTCAAAGTGCATACTACAACAATTATAGAGCACTTTTTTGATTTTGTCTATTGTTTAGATCTTAACTTGATTAATTCATTAAATTAGGTGATTTATCAATTTTTTCAGTATACTCTCCCCTTAAAAGATGCCGCCAGTGCAGTTGGGGGCGAAGAAGGGCGTGCTTCTGGAGAGTGCGCACACCGGCACCAACGGCAAAATTAGCGTCCAGCGAGGGGTGGCCGACTGGGCGGCTCCTGTGTAGTGTGTACAGGCCAAAATGTACTCCAGGTGTTCTCCGATTGTACTCCGACTGTACTCCGACTGTACTCCGTGTACTCCGGCTGTTTTTGTCGCAAGTTCTCCGCGTACTCCGACTGTACTCCAGGTGTACTCCGGGTGTACTCTGCGCGCTCCGACAGGCAATACACAGTGTTCTCCGACTGTACTCCGTGTACTCCGTACTCCTGTGTACACGAAAAGTTCCAGTCGCCCACCCCTCGGCGTCCAGTCCCGAATCGATGCGGCGCGTTGTTTTCATGTAGTGACGATTCTCCCAAACCTTTCATTTCACAGGTCTGCCCCCGTAACGAGGCTTTTGACTTTGCACTTACCTTTACGAGCTGCTTGCGGCTGTGTCTCAGTGACTCCTTTTGTAAGTAGTGCTCCCTAATATTCTGCATGATACAAGGAATCTCGTCCGCCCGGTCAGCGTGGAGGTGCAGAATCATGGGGCCTACCTCGGCCCACCTGTCGTCCAGCTCTTGGACCAGGCTGTCCTCCAGGATGAACTCTAAACAGGGTAATAAAAAACATCGTTTTCGCTCTGACAACCGAAATGTTGGACTGCTCTTTTTTCAAGCTACGGTGAAAACAATGTCTCATTTTTTGAGAAAAAAGGGAAAACTTTGAGGAACTTTCATGTTTGAGGAAGAGTCCTCCGATCTCGCCTCAGATTTTGAGGAATCTTTTCAAAAAATTAGGAAAAATCTCACATTTTTTGAGGAGACGCCCTGACAATCTGAAGGAAATTTTGTCAAACCAGGGGAATTCCTTAAAGTTTTCCCTTTCCCCTCAAATAATAAGACATTGTTTTAACCGTGAGACAGTTCCTCACTGAACATTTAACTAAAATCATATCTAAAAAAAATTATCTTAACCGTCGTCGTGACTCGCTTTTGCTTGGATATAACTTCATGGATAATAAGCCATAGTGCCAGCGTCCATCCCCATGCAAAATGCTTGCACAGAACAGGTTCGTATTACAAACATTTTCGTTTGCAGCACTGTAAAAAAATCATATGATACTACTGAAACTGTTAACGGACACTCCGTTATAGCAGAGTTCCGAAGACGTACGCGAGAACCGTTTCCTTGGGCCATGAAACTTAATTTAGGATACGGACATGTCCGAAAAGTGATTAGGGTAACGGGCCCAGTAGTCGACAGTACACCAGTCGTCGACGCTTTCAACTTTGCGTTCGATTTACCGCGAATTAGTTAACGTTAGGGTCTCACGCGTTTCACCACGTTGTAGCGCACTCTATTGAGACTAGAATACCCCCGGCACCGAGTCTGTGCGACCACCGGGAGTCGGTAGGGAGCGCTCCGCGCGGAACGCTGCTTGTCGGGTCTCATCGAGGTCTCATTTCTAAGCTCCGGATTAGTGAACAGACGTTCGTTCAGAAGGTACTGTGAAGCCACCATTCACTGTGAAAAATAGGTAGGTTTACAGGAAAATTTTCTTTGACGCAAGTTGTAAAATTACAATTTGGAATCGTAAAATTACATGCAGTAAGTATCGCCTTCAAATCCATTGGCGAATCGTAAATTTACAACTTAAATTATAACTCATGTTTGCAAAAAAATTGTAAATTTACGACGATTTTTTTACAGTGTTCGCCCGATTGATTTGGCAACACGTTTGCGCTGTATTCCAAGCACGCACTATCCACACTCAAACTGGGCAGGGAATTTTGACCACCTAGGGCTTGTAGAGTGGGGTTGCAAAGCCCAGGGTAGGTAAAATCGCAAGTATTTGTTTAAAGTGCAGACTTTAAATGTATAGATGAGTCTTCAAAACTATTCGGTGTGTCTTAACGGCAAAGTTCGATTGGTCACTGTCTGGTTACACACAGTCCAATCTGCTGCCCTTCCGTTCGATAAAGTTTGATCTGCTGCAGTCCAGGTACACAAATTTCGATCTGATTTCCAACGGGCTCTGCAGCTCAGTGTTATTTGAACTATATGTTCGCCAATGACAGGTAGAAAAAGTAATAGCTTCTGTTACTGTTGCTGTATGCATCAACAGAAAAACTGCAGCAGATCTCTTGACATGGGCCTTCCGAGAGCAGATCGAACTTTATGTAACCGGGCCGCAGCAGATCGAATTTTGTCGTTGGTCGCATCGCATTTCGGTCTAAGTTGTCAACAAATGCATGTGGCGCAAAAACTGTTACCGGCAGCTGGAAAGAGTCCATCGTCGTTGGCCACACTTAGCAGAAGAGGCACGTCCGCGGAGGTCTGTTTGTCCAGCAAGTCCGCAGGGTGCAATGGCAGAAACGGCGTCTTGCGCTGACTGTCTACAACCGGACCAAATGGAACGGCTGGGTGTTGACGCCAGCCCTGTAAGAAAATGTCAATTTAAAAAAGATGTTGAAATATTGCAATCAAAGTTGCACAACGGCACATTTCATAATCGCCTACGCAAAGGCATAAGGCTGATTTATTGTATCCTTAAGTGTTCATCAGTTCATCAGGTTTTAAGAAACCTTTTCGTGTTCACAGTGTTATTTTGCCATTGAATTAGGTTCAATTTTTTAATTTGACGCCGAAATTTTCTCTGAAAAAGCTTTTTGGCCCCACACTAAATAGAAAGATACAATATTGCTCTGAGTAAAGATTGTCCACATCTTCATCTAATTCAAATTTGAACGTCCAATGTAAAATAAGTTTTTGTGGTTATCTTACACCCAGAAAGGCATTTTAGTGTAAAAGAGAGGTAAATTTGCAATGTCTGAAGACCAAAATGTGCCTTGCGGCAGTATTATCCAAGCGAATAATTGGCGCAGTGGATTCTCACCAGCCACCACGAGATGCGCGCTCTCGGATCAGTTTTCACGCATGGCACAAGTTTAGTCTGTTTCCGCACAGGCGGAATTTTCGTCTGAAATTTTGTAATTTTTTATAATTTATGCTTCACAACGGTTTGATGTGCTTATAGCAATATTATACCTAACAATTCTTGTTTAATGTGAAATCACGCTTTGCTAATCTTAGTGTGTAGTAGTTAGTTTAAACTGCAAAACAGAAAGTTCGCCAGTTCTAACTGCAGAACTCTTAAGTTCGCCAGTTAACTGCAGAGCTTTTTAGTTCCGCAGTTCTAGCTATAGAACTCTTTAGTTCTGCAGCAACAACTGTAGAACTCTTTAGTTCAGCAGCAACAACTTTAGAACTCTTTAGTTCTGCAGCATCAACTGGCAAACTTTTCTACAGTTAAAACAAGAACAAAGGGGTCTACAGTTGGAACTAGGGAACTAAAGAGTTCTGCAGTTGGAACTGACGAACTAAAGAGTTCTGCAGTTAGAACTGGCGAACTTTTAGTTCTGCAGTCTAAACTGGCAAACTACTACACACTAAAATTTGCAGAGCGGTTAGGGAATTTCAGTCCCCTAAGGTGAAATAGGCACTTAAGGCATTTAATGCATTCTTGAATGGGTCTCTGAGTGTGCTATGAACCCCTAGTTCTGTAATTGCACACACCTTTTTGCTTGGGCAGCGCGCGCGCGGAGCGGACTATTTAGAGAGCAAGTTGTTCATTGCTAGGCGACTCGTAAATGTAGCAAGTGGTGTTGATGTTGAACCATGCCGCTGCCCCCCCCCCTCCTCCTTCCCCCCGCAAACGTCCATCCTGGCCGTCAAGACCCAGGGCATGTCCGCTATTGTCCTTTAGCCCAAAAAATCAAAAGAAACTTTTCGCAAGCTTTGACTATAACTTACGAGGGACGCGTGGCCCTGTCTCCAATACTGTGTCCACGACTGCGACGAGTCACCTCCGCCGCGGCGGCCGCATCCGCCCGTTGCCATTCATTTTATCCCTTGTTTCTTTTTTTTTTTTCGATATGCTATCTCCCCCTCCCTCAATCATATTGTGGTCATAACACAAATTTATTGGATATAAAATTGTCCTCTGTGCACGCACTTGGAATTGACTCTGCAGGGCTACCAGCACCGTGGCGCTGCTCGCCTGGAGGCAGCTCACGAGCGCGGCCGTGTCGGCCCCGGTGCAGCCGACCATCTCGGCGAGGCGCTTGGCCTTGGCGGCAGCGGCGGGCTGCACCGCCCAAGGGTTGAGTGGCGAGCCGCTCATCGCCACCGCCTTGTGGAACAGGCCCTTGGACAGCGGCGACAGCGTGTGCATCAGGACGCTTGCCGCACCGGCTGAGAAGCCGGCCAGGGTAATGCTCTGCTTGTTGCCACCGAAGTAAACGATGTTCTCTTGCACCCAACGCAGGGCCTGGACCTGGTCCAGCATGCCCACATTGCCAGGTAGCTCCTCGTCCTCAAAGCTCAGGTACCCTAAAACAAACACACACTAAAATAGACACTTCGACTCGCAGCGTAGAGTTTACCTGGACACCCTGCAGCATTGCAGCATGCAACAGTAGCGAGCCCCTCCCTCCAGGTCAATTCGCTTGCTAAAAGACAACTTCACTGGAGAGAGACGTCATTTTTGAAAGCAATTTTCACTGTGAAAAAAGACCTTTAGCCAAACAACGATCTAAAAATGTAAAATTTTAACCCCAAGAAAACCGTTAGATTTTACTTTAAATTTGTAGGATAAGTAGTCACCGAGTATATAAATTTTAGAGCGTTACTTTCAAGTACAGCGTCGGAATATACAGTACTCGGTACTTGCTCTAGGTATGTGTAAATTCACACACCTGCAAGTGTGAGAATGTCTATACACACTTGGGGTGCGTAAAAATGGCTATCTTTTCAAGTGTACGAATCTCTATTCGCTCACCTACAAGTGTACGAATCTCTATTCGCTCACATACAAGTGTACGAAACTATTCGCTCACCTACAAGTGCGTGAATATTTTTACTCACCTGCAGGTGTGTGACATTCGTACACTTCGATTTCCAGTGTGCTTTACAGACCTAGAACACCCAAGCGGTAGCCAACGGTCACGACCACCACGTCGTAGTCCATGAGGTATTGCAGCCCCGTTCGAGCCGCATTGCCGAACATGAAGCCTCCGCCGTGAATATGAACAATCACGTCCAGACCGGCTGCGCGATCATACTGCTCGAAACAGAATAAAAATGTCAACAGGCGCTAAGGAAACTCGAAGGGTCTGACAGTTATGCGTTCAAGACCAGAAGTGGATCTAAGACTCCCCTAGTGACGGGTCCGAGAACTTCGTCCGCCCAGGGGTATGAACGGCCGGGTGCACACTGGAAATGCAAGTGCGTGAATGTCGCTCACCTGCAGGTGAGCGACATTCACACACTTGCATTTCCAGTGCACAGTTAAAAAAAAAACTACAGGAAATGTCTACAGTGCGCCCTGTCAATTTGTCACTCGGCCGTAATTTTTGATTACAGTCCACTCCGTACAGGATGTACTGTACCTTCGCAAACCACCTTTTTGGTCAATTCAGCACTTGACTTCGACACTGAAGTATAGCCCACGTCATTACAGTCTGGCCTGTACATAAAAATATGCAACGTGGGGGGGAGGGGGGCCTGCAACACCGTTACGTCACATTTTTTGAGTGAAGACAATACGTTTTTAGCAGCCGACTGTTGAAGAAGAAAGAAAAGAATCAAAAGGGACGGGAAACAGTATTGATAACCAAATCAAATTGTTCACTTTTTCTAGTTTTCTTGACCAAGACAATTATTCTGGACTTGTTGGTGTGCCACAGCGGTGTACAAAAATGATCTACACACTGTTTTTTAGCCCGCCCTTCTGCTTTTAAAAAAGCATTAAAGCAGGCGTCCGTCCGTCGTCCGTGGTCCGTGTAAGAGGAAGGAGATGAGCTAGAGGTCTACAAATTTCAGGGTATCTTAGGGGTCACTCCTGGACAACGAAACGCCTGGTGCAAATCCTGGCAACCACCTCTAAGGAGGTGAAAGGGGGTAACAAAGAAACAGGGGTTGGTCCAAAAAGTAGGGAAAAAATATTTTTTTTATGGTCTCCTCAGGGGTAACTCGTGAAAGTAGAGCCCTATGGGCGAAAATTTTGTCCGTTTGACTCTATCTTGCACCGTTTGGGTGCTAGAGTGCATTTTCGACGAAAATACGGCGAAAATGACCTCGTTGCACATAAAGACGTAGAAGGAGGCGTCCAATCGTGAAATGTCAGAGGAAGTACCCCCCCAAACCAAAACATTCTGAAACAGGGCCTATCCTCGGATTTGCCGCATCTTTCACTGTTTCGGCCCTAGACGTGGATATATTGAAAACAATGGGGAAAGGTCAAGTTGTTTGACAAGTTTGACAAACAAAGCAATCTAAAAACTGCGTTGGTTAATTTTCTTGTATTTTTTTTAAGCAAAGCAGAAGGGTGGGGTGTAGTCACGGTGTTGCCCCGTTACAGTGTCTTGTCATGTGAAAGGAGCAAATCTCTAGGGCCGCAGGCCCCCCGTCGGAAGTTAGTACTCAAATATGCGAGTGATGTACCGGTCACATTATTTATTTGATTATGCTCTTCATGGTCGGGCCGAAGGCCCGACCATCGCCGCCGGCAGGCCAAGCAGTCCCGGCCGCTGCCGGGGCATGCCGAACGGAGTTGCCGGCGCAGCGAAGTGGAGCTGGCACGGCCGAGGGGTCCTCCACTCTCCTAGTGGGTGTAGAACGAGTTGCGTGAGTGTCCGCGAGTATTCGAGAGTATTAGCGAGTATCCGCGAGTATATGGCGAGTATTTCTCGATTTTTTCGCGAGTTTTCACGAATTTTCCGCAAGTTGTCGCGAGTATCTTGCGAATTTTTTTCCTCGTGTACATCGAGTTGGCGATTGGGGGACCCCTCGGACACGGCGGGGCGGCGGGCAAGGCGTTTCTTACAATCGAGAATATACGTATGTACGTACCTGATGGAAAATGATACCTCTGTTATGCAGAGATGTCCCCTTAAACACTCATTTTATCACCTATATTAAGCCTTCGCAATTTATATAAAATTTTGTATGTTTTTGCGATTAATGTCGAAAATGTGACGTCACAAGGGGGGGGGGGGGGGGGTCAGATTTTGTGACGGTGCGTGACATGGGGGAGGGGGGGGTCAAAAAGTGGCCTAAATCGCGTGACGTAATATATGTGGACGACCCCTTATCAGTGTATCTGTATTCAATTCAGTTTAGCGAGAGCAGGTGAGTAGAGTGACATCGCGAGTGATAGCATGAGAGCAGAGAATCATACTTTCTCAGAGGACATGTCAGTGGTTCTACTTCGTTTCGTAGAAATTACGACATTATTTTTATCATTGTCAAATCGATGAGACGTACTCTTGTAGGTTATATTTACTCCGCTCGTACTCTGATAAACCAAAAGCACCTGCAGAGCACTTGTAAGTGTGCAATTGCGAGACGTGCAACTCCATCGTAGTACACTTGCAAGTA